TTTTCTCATATATCAAACGCGTAATACTCGAGTTATTTAACGTTTAATGTTTAAACTTTCATTAAACGGAAGCGTCAATTCGCGCGAAGTTGAACGGATGTGAAGAAATATTGGGCCCATCATCTCGAAACGCACCGGCGAGTTAATCGTGCCGCGACCGACGTTTCATTTTTAATCATCGGAACATTTTTTCCCCGGGGGAGAAATAGACTCTCCATTACGAGTCCATTATGAGCCGCGGCGAATCGCGAAATATCCGCGATTTATTTAAGCAAGACCACCGCGCGACCATTACCCGTACACGAGGTATTTTCGATTCGCGCCGGTTAACTCATTACCAGTGGAATTCACTGCGGGACAGTATTTTGTTGCGTGTTATTCTTATCATGTCGTGCGTAATACTGCCGTGATATATTTCGCCATCGGTTTTCCGCATATCGCGATTCGGAATTTTGCGATCTCGCTGGCAGATCGCCGCCGTGAGCCGGCGGTTATCATAAATTCAGTATCGAACGACCGCGAGTGCGTGTCTGACGAACGACTATTCCCCCACCCTTGTCATCGGCCATCCTTTTTCCTCACCCCCTCAGCCCCTCAACCCCGTGTCCCTTTCACCCTCTCGTATGTCACTGTATCTCTTCTCTCTACTACTTGATAATTAATGTTGCTCTACCTTCCTCTTCTCGATGTACTCGTATCGGCAGCGTAGCACACAGAGTGGAAAGAAACTCCTTGAATATTCACCTGTGCACGAAACCACCACCCGAATGCTCCGCCATGGTTGTTGCATTGATGCTAGTTGGACGAACACAATACTGTTCCCTCCTTCCTCTGTTATACATGTGTATATGCATATATATATATATATATATATATATATGTTTCTCTTCTTAGGACACGCAAATATATCAATGTTTTTCGTCTAATTAGTCGAGTCTGATAGTCGACTGGTTTAGGGAACTCTCGTTTTAGGCGGCGCTCGATCTGTGGCCAGAAATAATCGCAAATGTATACTAAATTTACTAAAATTGTTAAATTTTAAAGAGAATCGAAACTAGTAATAAAATGATTAAATCTTGATATAAATATTACAATATTCAAATTAGTTAAAAAAAAGAAAAGATATTAAGTTAATGTATTTAAAAAATTACATATGTTTTATTATCTACGTAAAATTATGTAAGCCATATTGAGCCATGAAAGATTTATTTCTTTTACTTTATTGTGCAACATAATTTACAAATTTACGAATCACGCATGCAGCTGCAAAACAATCGAGGTAAATACATACACGCGATGGAAGCATTCCAGTTTGAACAACGTGACACATGGGGGAGGGGGTTAATATTTAATTCGTAGGCTCATTGGTTTCCGATTAAAACTTGCACACCGACAAAAAGTGTCCATTTGTCGCGCGACAGTCGTGCGCGGAATTTACAACATGCGGCTCAACGGGAAACTTTCGTTATCATGAGAATGATTACTCGGTGGCGCAGGCGTAACGTAACGAGCTCGAGTAAATGGCAGACAGGCTGATTAAACCGGCAACAACGTATTAATTTTTCCATTACTCGGGAGCATAATCCCTCTATCTCTCTAGCTTTCGTCGCTCTTCGCCGGGTGCGTTATCGCTCGGACCGTATTTCCATAAATTCGGATTTTCTCCGGGCCGCCGTGTCGGACGACCTGCCACCGCGTGCGCAGTCGATTAATTAATTGCCACTAATTGGCGTGTCACGCGCATTCGTAAAATTCGGCCGAAGACAGCGATTATTCGGTTGGCACGGTTGGCTTTTAAACTAGTATCCGGAATGAATCGATGATCAGTCGTACCGCGCGTTGGATTCCCGAAATGTCAGAGTGTCGTGTACGAACATTCTTTTTCAGAAAATACGTCGCTCCACTTTGATTTAGAGTAGAGATAAAACGTGAATTTCAAAAATGGATCGCGACAAATTGTTGTTTAGCCATTGGAATAGAATAACAATGATGGACGCAATAAAAAAGAGAAGAAGGAAAATAAACACGATGGACTGTCGACAAATAAAATTAATATTTCTACCGATGAAAAAATTTGCGGAATAAAATTCAAATAAAACCAATGCGATGTGAAAGGCATTATTTGAATAACTGAAGAAGATACGAATAAAATCCGTGGCGTGTCATATATGTATTTATACACCGGCGATGTTGATAATTACGCTTCTGTTGCCACAGATCACGCGAACCTATAAGAAAGTGGAGTTTACGATGCGATTATAACATTGCCCCCCTCCCTCTCCCCCCACACAAATCACTCTCTTCTTTTTGGAATGCGCCTGCTATTTATGCATCACGCTCTTGACCCGCCTTTAGATAATCGGCGATCAAGCCGAATCCATTAACCACCCCCCCCCCGTCGTTGATCGTTAACTTACGTTTTGGTTTGCGCTAACATCACGCGCGTTACTTGCACAGTAGGTAGTTGTCTGTTGAGGATGCTGTTGATGTGCTGCTCGTTTAATTCAACCCATTATCCTAACAACAGTGCATATATACTTATTATACCTTGTGTCGGAATAACTTTTATTCTCGTCACTTTGAAGAGATATAAATTTTTATGATTGCTCTATTAGAGAGAAAAAAAAATGAAGATTCTGAAATAATTTCATACAATAGCATTTTATTCGTGATATATATAATTGAATTTTTTAAGCGAAAAATTTCACATTGCTCAGCGGTTACGGATTGAATTACATTCAAAAAGATATATATTGAAAAATTGTCGTGCACAAAAGCTTTTAAGTGCATTCAAATTTTATTCTAATTTGAAAAGACTAGAAGTGTTTGTTCTTTCAATGAATTTTATTCTCTTCAAGGTGAATTTTTTAAGACGTGTATATAAATGAGAAAGCACTTGTTAAATTGCTCCATCAGCAGCTGATCCGAACGAGATGACTTGGTGGCAATGAAAAGGTAGGCAGAATCGTCAGTTTTTACTGTTTCATCTTGGACCAGCTGGAGATAAAAGGGATTCTTCCCTTCATCGCTGAGTTTGTTTTCCCAACTTTTTTTTCTTGTCAGATATGTCGATAATTCAATGTCATTTGTCGTTTCCGTCAATACAACGGCTATTCATTAAAGTCACTATCCATCCATCAGACTTTGCCTATAGTTTTGCCGATCACGTCATCTATCAATGCTCAAAACATAAATTAAGAAATAGCTCAGAAATATAATCCGTCATGTGTGTGGTAGCTCAATAAATCATTTACTACGCTTTCCGGCAGATTGACATCAGATTATCATCAGACAACGATAATCCAGTTAACATAAACGCTACAATTTTCGTTTCTATTTTTATCATATCCCTTCGTAATTAAACAATTATTTTGTAACACTTTCAAAAATAACGTCTTTTATCTTTTTTAAAAGCATCTTATTTATAAAGGCATTATTTCTTACGATTTTCTGCCATCGTTCGAATATAATTTTTCAATCTTCAATTTGCAATCTCCGAGATAATACCGATAATCGAAGGGATCGCGATTATTTACCGTATCTTTGTAGAAATACCGGGATCGACTAATATTCCATAATCCTGTCGAAACTCGCTGTCACGAATCTGAAATGCATCACCAGGCGAGAAAGCTCAGTTGTGCATTGTCAGCTTCCGGAGCTGCGTATCCGCATGCGGTCTTTCTTCCCCTTAGGAAAGGCCTGCGTCGATCATGCAACCGGCAGCTGCTCCACAATGTGGATCGAGTCATGACATCCACGTCGCCGTCTATTCAACTTCATCGGAAAAATATTCCCTCCGAGATCTCCGTAGACCGATTGAAAAACAAGCCACTCAGTTTCGCTAAGTGTCTTAAAAAATTGGCGTTGCTTTTCGGTTTGCGCTCTTCTTTATCTCTCTTTTAATTCTAATTTTGCTGGATTCACATTTCAAAAATATTCGATTTTCATCAGACGAAGTTTATGAATCGAAATTCAGCAGAAACGGTCCATGAAAAGTTGTTGCAGCGACTCGTCACAATGATAAAACATGCCAAAAAAATTGATCTACTCGCGAAAAAGCGTCTTCCCCGAGATGAATTACGTTTCTTAAAGTTTCATAGTTTCTTCCTCTTTGAGCCATTCCCGAGTGTCAAACGCAAACGGAGCAGAGGAAGCGAACTTTTCTATTTTCGGTTTTCCGAAGTTTCCTTCGTTCCACCACATCCTCTCTTTTCTTACGCCGCGGGGTTCTCCGGTGTTTTCCGATGTTCGTATTTACTTCTCGGGTGCAATTCCCGAAAGCCAATCTTTGATAGGAAGAACAAAATTTCCTGCTCGTGCCGCAAGTTCTCTTGGATCGAAAGCTTCCTCTGCGCAGGTAGAGTCAGATACGTTTGTCGGTGAATCGTGCTTGTTTTCTTGCATCGTCGGTGTTATGAGCACGTTAAAAAAAAGGAGGATTTTATTAAGGGATGTTGTTTTAAAAATGATCGGTTAATCTTTCCCTTTCCATTTACTCTGAGTACTTTGTTACATTTTTATTGAAAATTTTTGAATCAATGTTTTGGTAATTAAAGACAATTACAATCTCATTTTTGGGGTAATTAAATCTTATTTAAAATATTAATTTGTCAAAAAAACTTGTTACTAAAATTCGATACAAATGGAAAGGAGGAACTTGACCAATCTTAAATCAATATCGCGCTCGTGTAAGATGTCGAACGACGATTACGATCGGCGAATGAAAATTTTCTAGAGAGAGACTCTAGAAAATTTCCATACGACAGTCGAGTAAAACGGTTTCAACGGAGTAATTCCTAGGCGAATATTGAAACTAAGTCTCATAACCGAGTATATCAAATCAAGCCACGAACCTCGTCTCGCTGGCTGTGCGATGTGCGCCGTGGTTCCTCGAGGAGCAACCTGGAATCCCTGGAGAGCTCGATAGCGACATAAGTCTACAAGGTAGGCAATTTTGTGTAATTGGCATGTGCGCGCGTGTCGCGTGTGTGTTGTTGCAGCTGCGGCACTTAGGGGAGTTGCCATACAACGTGGAAGAGTAGGAACAACAAGGGCAACTTTTCCAACTAGCGCGGCCGCACTGGCATTGGCGAGGAATCCGGGGCCGCTTGCGGCCGCAGCTGCGGCCACGGCCCTGCACCCTTTTGCACCTGCGTGAGTATCGGTCCAGATCAGATCTAACCAATATCTAAGAACGAAGATATTTCCTACGAAAATACCCTGTTAAGCGGCATTTCTTAAACGAACTTTGGATCATATATATATCTCCTTAACTTAAAACGATCATGAATTGGCGAGAAATATCACAACGAATTAATGTGACATCAAAAAGAGTGATCTTGTCGACTTGCCGTCATGATTTTTCTATGCTATATATATTTTTTAATAAATATCAATAAATGCCGTTAATAGAGTACGTATTTTTACGGGAATATTCTTTATGTGATCAAAATTCTATGAAAAATGTCTGTGTATTTAGCCGCTTGTTTTGTATCTTTTGTACATATTCCTTTTCTTCTTTGTGAAACTTCTCTTGCAGCGAGTAATCAAGAGTGCGCCTCGAAAATACTTTGGCGTTTACGAAACTTCTGCGAGGGTTTCGTGAAGCGATAAAAAGGGACGTGTGATATAACGACGATAATTAATTTACGTAGAAACGTGATGTGGAAGCGGTGCGTGCGTCGTTAAAGTTTCGAAAGACTTTTTCGCGGGAGTCTTTTTCTTCTTAACGATCAGTACTTATGTAGTTAGCGTGATTTATATGCCACTAGTTCTTCCATTCCATGATAAAGTTTAAACCTTTGAGTTTAAACGTTAGATCGCGTTTGCCGACTAATTATGTTATTTATCTTTGATAGAACATGCGATGCACAAGCTTTCGGTCAAAATCTAATCGAGGAATCTTGTTTTTTTTTTTTTCTTGTTTTCCATTAAATTCGCATTTTCGATAAATGTTAC